TTGTCAAGAGAAGAGAACTCAGCACGAATCACTCACTCACATGTTATCGCCTGTTCCTCAGGAGCATGGATTTTCTAACAATCCATTTCCTGATTAAAAACAACACACCACAATTTACATCAAAGGCAGATAATTCAGCATGAGTCACGGACATATTTTTCCTCTTGTCTATATTAGTTCACTCACTAGTAATTCTTTAAACGATAAGATTACGTTTACCAAGCCTGTCTTTATTTAAGCACACCTTGCCATGCAATCGAGTTTACCATTACGAACTATTGTCTGACTATCTAACTATGACCACATCTCCTATATATGAGTCTGCTGTGACGTTACATATACTTAATCCTGATCAAACATCACTAATTGGTCGAAGAAAGTCTGGTCTATCTTAGTTCACCCATTAGTAACTCTCGAAACAATATAGTTACGTATTCCAAGCCTGTCTATATTTAAGCACACCTTGCCATGCAATCGAGCTTACCATTACGAACTATTGTCTGACTATCTAACTATGACCACAACTCCTATATATGAGTCTGCTGTGACGTTACATATACTTAATCCTGATCAAAAGTCTGGTCTATCTTAGTTCACTCATTAGTTACTATCGAAACAATATAGTTACGTATTCCAAGCCTGTCTATATTTAAGTACATCTTGCTACGCGATCGAGCTTACCATAAAGAACTTTTGTCTGACTATCTAACTATGACCACATCTCTGAGTCTGCTGTGACGTTACATATACTTAATCCTGATCAAACATCAGTAATTGAATTAAAAAAGTCCGATGCAATATCGCTTGTTCTCGCCGGTATTGATTACTGCTAACAACCTTTATGTCAACTTGGATTGGTCAGAGTATATGTTTGCATTCAAAACTTCCGAAGAAAACAACAAAAGAAAAGTAATTACATATTTCTATACAATCAATATTTCCAGTAATTGAACTGATCATAAGTTCCATAGCCCCTTTATATACAAACACTCGTCTCATTAGCTCACCGCTTTAATTTCAATTTCAATTACTTTCTCTCTGATTCGTCACTTACTAATTCGTCTCAGTAATATATGGCCACCACTGGGGTATTCATGTATTGACGCGGTAAGGAATAAAACTTTCAATGTTTACGTTTGTTATTCGTTAAATAAAGTAACTCTAATTTCCAGAAAAAAATCATAGCGCCTTGCTTGACAATTGTTTCTGTCCCCAGGCCGGGACATACCCCAAAGTCTATAAAAAAAGGTCGTTGTTTTTCCCCTGCTTAACGCTCAGCATTGTCAGTATAATGTCACCGGTGGAAAGCTATGCAGAGTGCTTTTGTATTTCAGTGAGGTTGATATAATGTCGGCATCTGATTCGCGTAACCACAAAGTTTGGTTTGATTTGCTTCTCTTTCCTAACGTCTGTAACGGCTTTTGTGTGTTTTTATGTTTGCATCTTTGTGACTTTTGGTTGTAGTAACAATTAGATACGTATTCACGTTAAAACCGTTTTGTTTTCTTTTACCAGTCATTTACCTGCAATAGTGTGATGATACCTATTTTAAACTATATATAAACTTATTTTAGATGGAAATATATTCGTCCAGATGAATTCTGACTTTTTAAAGGGTTAAATCAAGGGAAATATGTAAAGAAATTCTGAAGTAAAAGGACATTGAACTATTTGGCGGTAAGTGCGGTGGCAACAGTAGCGAGAGGCAATATATCGAGGTTTTTCTAAATAACACAACATAAAATCACAACTACTGTCAGTGTTAACATCCTTCTGTCTCCTTACTTTATGGGATAGCTGTAACCAATCGATATAATTGGGATATCATGTTCCTGGACAGTTCCTGTCTCTTGGGTTTTACTCCTAGGCTTAATTCCGCAGCGTCTCTAAAACTGATATACCAATGTCAATTTAGCATAATGAGTCCCACTAAATTGTATATCATTTAATTTCTGTTTACCAGAATAATAATTGTTTGGACGCAAGTTTGTGATATACACAGATCATAAAGCATTACTAGGTCTATTTAAGGCGGATTGCGCAATTCCAAGTCTGGCGTCGGCACGAATTCAGCGATAGACTTTGTTACTCACTACGTTCGAGTACGATTTACAGTATAAACCAGGTACCAAAAATGGTAACGCGGATGGTCTTAGTCGTTCACCGTTGAACGACACGGTCGAGGATGTTCTAATCCCTGGCGAAACTATTTTGCTTCTGGAACATATAGAAACCACTCCTATCTCATTTGAGCAAATTCGTAGGTGGACAGATGGAGATCCGGTGCTGAGGCGTGTGCCGAGTCATTCACAGACCGGTGGGAACTTAAAGAGCACCGACGACAGTGTTTCATTCGGAGATCCGAATTCTCATGTCATTGCGGCGTGATCCTATTGGGGAATAGTGTGGTAATTCCAAAACCTTGACATTCATCATTATTAGGCTATATACATGAGTGGCATCCTGGAATGGTGCGCATGAAGGCACTAGCGCGTAGTTACGTGTGATGACCTGGTTGAGACTCTGATATTGAAGGACGAGTCCAGGCATGTCCTAAATGCCAGCTACAGAGGCCCAGGCCATTTGTAGCACCTCTTCAGTCCTGGGATTGGCCTGATCGTCCATGGTCATGTGTTCACGCAGATTACGCGAGTCCTTATCTTGGACAAATGATGTTGTTGGTCGTCGGGGACTCTTACAGTAAGTGGTTGGGGGCTATTCCGACATCGTCGACATCTACAGTGACAATTAGCAAACTACGTCAGTTATTCATAGAACATGGTCTTCCTGAAAGACAACGGACCGTCTTTTGTAAGCGAAGAGTTCGCTACGTTTATATTGGAAAACGCCATGAAACATGTGAAAACATCCCCGAACCACCAAGCGTCGAGGGGACTTGATGAGAATTTTTAAAGAGGAACTGAAAAAATGAGCCATTCAGATGGTGATATTACGGCTAAATTGAGTAGATTTCTTATTGCATATCGCACTATGCCACAGACCACAACAGGTTGGTCACCCGTGGAACTGTTATTCAATCGTAAGCTGAGAACTAATTTGGGCTTATTCAATCAAGTAGTCTGCGAACGTGTGATGAAACGGCAACGGGCACAGATAGATTATCACGATAAGCGTGCTAAGGAACGTTAGTTCGCTGTCGATGATAAAGTCTTTGTGAAAAACTTTTACGCAGGACCTAGGTGGATTTCTGCTGAAATAGTAATCAGCAGGTTCACAAGAGCATCTATGAGCACTTATAATCACTTGATATTAAACAGTTATACTATTTCAGTATTCTACACATACTTTAAGGAAACAGATGTCGCCTGAATCACTGATTTGGTTTGGTTTGGTTTTATTTTGTTGAATGTCTTATTAATAGCTTTGCTCTTTTAAGGACAGGCTTTACTATGTGTTTTGATTGCGTGTTTGTGCATGTTTATGAGTGCTTCAGACGGGACATTGGTATTTTTTCCTCTTGCGATAGAGCGGATCTGATGTCGACCTCAGAGCGCTACCCACTGAAATACCATACCGAAGGTAAAGATCATAGTTATTCACCCGATCACATGATACTGACAATATGTCACTATTAGTGTTGATTACAATTAATGATGGAAACGTTAGAGAGAGATTAACAACTACCATCTATGAGGACTTGATTATGGCCCGGTCTTGGGAACTGTATATCATGAGATCAGTGGTCATATGTTCCTGACATCTAATTAATGGCAACAAACTTTTATACTGCTACCTGTATCTTACAGGTAGCCAGTGCAGTGAATATCCGGTTTTAATCCTAAGTCCTGAGTAATTATTGTGTGATATACAAGTATTCATTCACTATTAACTATGTTTTATTCTTACCTATTCTGAATACTACTTATCTGTGATCACATTTAATGCTTTTCATATATTAACACTATTTTTTATATATATATCCCGGGGGCCTTTGAAGGTAGGGGACTCCCATCACTTAGAAACCTGTGATATGTATACTTTCTGTGTCTGTGATGTGATTATCTCCCTTTACTTGTAATATAATATTTTATTGTTATTTTTACGTATGTCTGTCGCAATAAGAGCTCTCAAGAGCTAATGTTCCTTGTTTACCTGTATGCAACGTTAATTAAAGTTTCTTGTATCTTGTATCTTGTAAACCAGGGCGTTACCATTATCCAACCGAGAGTTTATAAGTGAATGCACCAAAAGCTTGCATGCATCTGCGGTTATAAACTGCCAGATACAGCCAATGTTCCTGGCCTGGTCGTAACAGGATTTAGCAACGGCGTTCACTTGTTCTCTTAGTTCGGAACAATGCTTCCCTCGAAACATATGTGTACTTCGATGGCCTTGCGTTACCGCAATGCTTAAATTTCGTAAAATGAAAAAATAAATATAGCTGCGTAAGTTTTGATTTCCAAGCATTTCTACTATTTATATTGCCAAGGGGTAGAATCATAGTCCCATCACTATGAATATCGAAATGTTATTTGCTAGCTTAGCTTGTAGTATATATTAGCGTATCATGGTCATGGGTGATATTTTGGTATAATAAACAAACCCTTAACTTTAATTATATTAACATAAAACCAACATAAAAAGCATCAGCACCGCCATTATCATACCCATAAAGATATAGACAATGTGGTATTCACAATTGTTCAAGACAAAAATTTTGATTTAGAGTATTATTTTTACCATTTATAAATCCGTCTAAACAACAAAAGCTAGCCTTAAATAAATTATATATTTGTATACAGCACATGTGTAAATATTTAAAAAAAAAATCAGCTTGATGAAACATGTTAAGTGCTACTAAGTTGGTGATGTTGATTGTAATAACAAAGGACAAAGCGGGGAACTGCTATTGTTATAACAAAAATGTACTATAGACATTGGCAGGACGACAAACCCCAAATCAAACAAACCACAGATCAAACGCAGTATTTTTTCTTTAATGTAATTAAATAAATATCAATCTAAAGTAGGATAGAAATGCTACATTAATGCAAAATAATAACATATGATGTCCTTTCAAACATAACCAGCAACAACGATAGACGTTATGTACCAATGACATACTTCGGAATATCCAACCTTTGATAAGTAAACGATGTCATTCTCGTTGAAACAATAGGAAATACATCTCATCGCTGAGGTTTTCGTGTTTTGTTATAATTTTGTGTTATATAATATTCTTGCTAACAAAAATCCGTTAGGTATCTGAGTAACTAAAAACGTGGGTTCACATTTAATATATTTTCATTTTGTGGACGCAGCTCGTGTTAGACTATTGTTGCATTCCCACTGTTGTTTGGAGCAGACGATGACTGTTGAAACTGGAGCAACACAACGAAATATGTTGCAAGCATTCCTGCGACCTGAAACGAAGAAACGAAATTGTATAATGTTTCTTGAATAATTTTCTTAAACAAATAATTTAACACGAAAATGCAATTGCTCGCGGAGCAGATGATATTTTCAGAGGCGAGGTGTAATGATCCAAAAAAGTGTTTAATATCTATATAACTCAACATATTATTATTATTGACAGTTTTCGACCCATGGGCAGAGCTTGGATCACTCCACCGTCTGTAGACGCTGGTGGGTATATTATCATATTATGTTTCGAATAAATGGATGTTAAATATAATAGCCAGCATGTATCTACAGTATAAAATCATGAAGTATTTTCCAGAAAACAAACGAAGGTACCCAAAACAAATCGCAACAGAAATATCATTTTGGGGTTCGCAACATCACAGAAAAAAATATACAAAGATTCAATGCAAGGATAGTGTTCCCATTTTCAAATTCTTGATCATATTTCTAGGACTTTAAATATATAACTTTTGATATATTGGACGTTACTCACACTGACAACGACTTGATTGTCGATTACAAACAGGGACCATGCCGTCAGACCAATGGGAGAGCCGTTCAGCCGGTGTAGGAATACATTTATCTGTAACAGTAAAGATCTAATATAATGTGTCTGTATCGTCACGTGGTGAGTAAATATACAGCTAGATCAATCAGATGTTTTGTTTTGGGTTCACTGTTGATTAGACAGTTTGGTATATGTCATGTTTCATGATGTCAAGTTCAAAAATATATTTTGAAATTAGATCTGTGCTATCGCAAGACGGCAAATACCGCAACATACCGCCTCCACCACACATAACGCATTAATGATCTTTTTAAATCAAATGGAAAAGAAAATGACGAACTGTTAGTGTGTCTTTTATCAGATTTAAGACATTTAAATTCCGTTATTTTTAATAAGAGCATGATGGCATTGTAGAAAGTGCGACGGTGCATATCGTGAAGGTCACATATCACATGAAGCACTTTTATTTTCCTCTCAAAACAATTGAGAGACAGACTAAAAGATTGAGATCATATCTTAAGTCACCTCCACTTTGACCGGTAGGTGACTAATAGTCGCTGGAAATATTATACCATGGTAAACTCACTGAAAACGTGTTGGGTTTGTTTGTAATGAAGCAGGTTTAGAGTAGGCCTGCTATATCCTGTTGTATAATCCATTCAAACATATCTTATTTACATTAAAAAGGGATTGGACACAAGATCTTAAAACTTCCTAGGCCCTCAACTTGTATTTTATCCTAAGACATATGAAAATAAAAGAACATACCTTTAATTGTTTTAACTAACCTGAACTGCAAATTCGGCAGTCATTTCCTTCATGGAAAGGTTGTAAATAAATTTCGCAGGTTCATGAGCCTAGATGTAAAAGAAAATAACAAGGTATGTATGATCTGTATTTGTAGTATCGCACAACGTTACACGATGTCTGGTGTGTACGCGATGTGCGGTGTGCGCGCGATGTATGCATGATGTGCGAACGATTAAAATCATATCACCACTCATACCATACAAATTATGCAAAAATATTTTTTATCACTAAAGACTGCATATGGATAGGTATTATTTCATTTAATATATACACTGTATTGCTATAAGGAAGACGGAAGGGTAAAAGGAAATAAAAAGAAGCTGGTAAGAAAACAAAAAAAAGAAAGAAGAAAAGATAAAGACAGATATCAGAACAAGCATGTCAGGGAAGGAATTCAAAACAGAGCTAGATACTAATTAATGTTAAGTAACAGAATTGTTACCGAATAATTCAGATATCAGCCTAAATCATGTCAGGTTTTAGGCAAAATCAACTAATTTCATCCATTTCTTCCATTCATTTAGAACAAAATGTATACAAGGATCACTTTTACCATATGAAATACAGGATTTGGTTAGAAGAACTTCATTATCAATGCGATTGTAAATGCCTGTGTTATTTACCAAACCAAATAACAATGTTTCTTTAGTAATAGGTAATGTAATTGTTAGTGCATTTACCAACCTTTCAAAACTTGCCAGAAAATTCTGAACCTCATCACATTCCCAGAACATATGCACGATTGTCTCCCTTCCTCTATTACATAAATTACAATTAGGATTGTTTGATAAGCCTATTTTATGTGCATAAGAGCTAGTTGTTAGAATATAGTGGTTAGCCTTAAATTGTAGCCAACGGAGTTTAGAACTTTGAGTTGATCGAAAAGGAATACTGTAAAATAAAATCCATTTCTCCTCATTATAGTCAAAGGTGTTTCCCCAATTTTTGCTGGCCAGTTATGTTAATATTATTTCTCAGGAGTAAACAGTAGAATTCCTGCGACCCTTTTTTTCTTTAGGATTAGCTCAAGATAAAGTGGAATAATCGGAAACATCAATGTTCTACTTGGAGATGTAAAAGGTATTTTTTGATACTTTGGATTACTCCATAATATTGTAAATAATTTGTTATTGTACCAAACACAGTACAGAATTCATTAAAATTATAAAAGGAGAAAGTTCTATTGTCTTTTATTAAGTCATTCACTATACTAATTCCTGCATCGAACAATTTTTTGTAGAAAATTGGTTGGTTATTAACAACAATGTTTTTGTTAAACCATAATGGAGTTTTAAGTATCAACTCCTCATCATCATTAATATTTCTAACAAGTTCTTCTTTAACTCTAAGATTATACCAAGCCTGAAATACATCTTCCCAGAAAATATTTTTACATTTAGTTTTCGCTACGTGTAGTGATCATTCCCACATTTAGATAAAAGCTGAACGTCCTAGCCATTTGCCAAGTGAGCTAAAGATTCTCCTGATCCACCCTCTCCTTCTTCAATCCACTTTGCTTTTGAGCGAATTATACTTCCCTAAATCTTATGTAGTCTTATATCTTCCAATTCCTTTTTCTTTTTATTAAGTTCGTCTATTATTACATTACTTTGATCTTCAAGAGACCTTATTGCTTTCTTAACACAATCTTCCTTTAAGTTCTGGTGGGGTTTTATTATCAGGAGAATACGAAATGGTTTTACCCCTTAATTCCATCAACAGAGTTTCTCCAAGTAATTGGTCATTGATAACAAATTCTAAATCACCATTTCGAGATTTTTTTACATAATCAGGTTGGTATACAGGGAGGCAGTTTTGCAGTTTAATGTTTGTAATTGTATTACTAATAAGATTAAAATAATCCTGGTCATGTAATAGGGAATTGTTGAATTTCCATAGCCCCTTACCTTTTTTGAAATCAGTTAATTTTAAGCTAATTTTCGGAAAAGATGAGGATTATATTGAAATCCCCACATATTATACACTTTTCAGACTTAAAATCAAGTAATGTATCTTCTATGAGATAGAAAAAAGTAGGGTCATCAATATTTGGACCATACATATTTATAACTGTTATAATTGTACCTTCAATTTCCATATTTAATGCTAAAAAATTCCCAGACCTATCTTTTTTTTCTCATTCAACACAATGACATCAAAATTGTTATTTAACATAATGGCAACTCCCGTAACATATAAACTTGATGATTAAGTATATTTCTATATTCTAGCTACATATATATAGGCTGATCAGTCTATCTATATTCTAGCTACATATATAAGCTGATCAGTCTATCTATATTCTAGCTACATATATAAGCTGATCAGTCTATCTATGTTCTAGCTACATGTATAAGCTGATCAGTCTATCTATGTTCTAACTACATATTTAGGCTAATCAGTCTATCTATATTATAGCTACATATATAAGCTGATCAGTCTATCTATATTCTAGCTACATATATAAGCTGATCAGTCTATCTATATTTTAGCGACATATATATGCTGATCAGTCTAACTATATTCTAGCTACATATATAAAATGATCAGTCTATCTATATTCTAGCTACATATATAAGATGATCAGTCTGTCTATATTCTAGCTACATATATAAGCTGATCTGTCTATCTATATTCTAGCTACATATATAAGCTAATCAGTCTATCTATATTCTAGCTACATATATAAGCTGATCAGTCGATCTATATTCTAACTACATATATAAGCTGATCAGTCTATCTATATTCTACCTACATATATAAGCTGATCAGTATATCTATATTCTAGCTACATATATAAGATGATCAGTCTATCTATATTCTAGCTACATATATAATAATGATGATCAGTCTGTCTATATTCTAGCTACATAAATAAGCTGATCAGACTATCTATATTCTAGCTACATATATAAGCTGATCAGTCTATCTATATATCTATATTCTAGCTACATATATAAGCTGATCCGTCTATCTTTATTCTAGCTACATATATAAGCTGATCAGTCTATTTATATTCTAGCTACATATATAAGATGATCAGTCTATCTATATTCTAGCTACATATATAATAATGATGATCAGTCTGTCTATATTCTAGCTACATATATAAGCTGATCAGTCTATCTATATTCTAGCTACATATATAAGCTGATCCGTCTATCTTTATTCTAGCTACATATATAAGCTGATCAGTCTATCTATATATCTATATTCTAGCTGCATATATAAGCTGATCAGTCTTCTATATTCTAACTACATATATAAGCTGATCAGTGTATCTATATTCTAGCTACACATATAAGCTGATCAGTCGATCTATATTCTAGCTACATAAATAAGCTGATCAGACTATCTATATTCTAGCTACATATAAGCTAATCAGACTTTCTATATTCTAGCTACATAAATAAGCTGATCAGTCTATCTATATATCTATATTCTAGCTACATAAATAAGCTGATCAGTCTATCTATATTATAGCTACATATATAATAATGATGATCAGTCTGTCTCTATTCTAGTTACATATATAAACTGCTAAGTCTATCTATATTCTAGCTACATATATAATAATGATGATCAGTCTGTCTATATTCTAGTTACATATATAAACTGATAAGTCTATCTATATTCTAGCTACATATATAAGCTGATCAGTCTATCTATATATCTATATTCTAGCTACATATATAAGCTGATCAGTCTGTCTCCATTCTACCTACATATATAAGCTGACCAGTCTATCTATATTCTAGCTACATATATAAGCTGATCTGTCTATCTATATTCTAGCTACATATATAAGCTAATCAGTCTTTCTATATTCTAGCTACATATATAAGCTGATCCGTCTATCTATATTCTAGCTACATATATAATAATGATGATCAGTCTGTCTATATTCTAGCTATATATATAAGCTGATCAGCCTATCTATATTCTAGCTACATATATAATAATGATGATCAGTCTGTCTATATTCAAGCTACATATATAAGCTGATAAGTCTATCTATATTCTAGCTACAAATATAAGCTGATCAGTCTGTCTATATTCTAGCTACATATATAGGCTGATCAGTCTATCTATATTCTAGCTACATATATAATAATGATGATCAGTCTGTCTATATTCAAGCTACATATATAAGCTGATAAGTCTATCTATATTCTAGCTACATATATAATAATGATGATCAGTCTGTCTATATTCTAACTACATATATAAGCTGATCTGTCTATCTATATTCTAGCTACATATATAAGCTAATCAGTCTTTCTATATTCTAGCTACATATATAAGCTGATCAGTATATCTATATTCTAGCTACATATAAAAGATGATCAGTCTATTTATATTCTAGCTACATATATAAGATGATCAGTCTGTCTATATTCTAGCTACATATATAGGCTGATCAGTCTATCTATATTCTAGCTACATATATAATAATGATGATCAGTCTGTCTATATTCAAGCTACATATATAAGCTGATAAGTCTATCTATATTCTAGCTACATATATAAGATGATCAGTCTGTCTATATTCTAGCTACATATATAAGTTGATCAGTCTATCTATATTCTAGCTACATATATAAGATGATCAGTCTATCTATATTCTACCTACATATATAAGCTGATCAGTCTATCTATATATCTATATTCTAGCTACATATATAAGCTGATCTGTCTATCTATATTCTAGCTACATATATAAGCTGATTAGTCTATCTATATTCTAGCTACATATATAAGATGATCAGTCTGTCTATATTCTAGCTACATATATAATAATGATGATCAGTCTGTCTATATTCTAACTACATATATAAGCTGATCTGTCTATCTATATTCTAGCTACATATATAAGCTAATCAGTCTTTCTATATTCTAGCTACATATATAAGCTGATCTGTCTATCTATATTCTAGCTACATATATAAGCTAATCAGTCTTTCTATATTCTAGCTACATATATAAGCTGATCTGTCTATCTATATTCTAGCTACATATATAAGCTAATCAGTCTTTCTATATTCTA